AAGAATAACTAAAAGATGTTTAAATGTAAAATATTAAATTAAGAGCCATTCTTTTTCATGACTATGAAAATAACACTTACTAACCCTTGAGGTTTTTTCCTAAAAAATTAGGAGGTGTTAAGATGTTCATGAAAATTTGTTTTAGTAGTATACTTGAAATAATGAGAGTTACCTAAAAGTCTTGACTTTATAAACTTAAAGTGTTATGAAGTCTTAGATTATAAAATGATTTAAAAATGTTGAATCTTAGTTAAGTGAACTTACTTTAAAATGGTAAGATTTACTTAAAAAAGTAAAAAGGTTAGTTTTAGTAAAAATGTTTTACTTACAAAAAATAAGATTTATGAATTATCGGAAAAATACAATGAAGTGGGAATACATGTCTAGAAAGGTTCTGTCTAAGGAAAGACTTGGTATTTAAGGGTGTCTTTATGACCCACCTCTCTTTCCTGGGAACTAGCCTAGTGTATATCCACGGATTACGACATAAATGAAGTGGGAATACATGTCTAGAAAGAGGCGGCACAACCCCTGTTTTTGGACCCAAGGCCGACCGCGATCGGTCGATCCGGGCGGAAGACATTGTCATGTGGGGAGTTTGGATGGGGCGGCAAATCTGTTAAAAGATAACGGGCAAGTAAACCCGTAAGGCACAAGGAAGCTGATTGGTGGGATCCCCTTGTGGGTTGCACCGCCGACCGACCCTGATCTTCTGTGAAGGGTTCGAGTGAGATGAATTTCATCTAACACTGGTACAAAGATGAATGTGTGCTATTAGTATTGTTCGCATTTTTCAATATTGTCAATTACATGACTTACGAAAAATGGAGAATGAAATTTCAATCACATTCAAATGATTTGATGTATTAGATAAGTTTTTTGTCGACAAAAATTAGAAAACTCACTTTTATACCAAATTATAAAATATGGTTAAAGAACCACATTTTGGATCAGTTCTCAAGAGTCGATTATAAATCGGAAAATATATTATCACATTGTCCTCCTGTATTTAAATTGTACCCTAAAAACTACATTGACAAGCATTGTTAGTTTTATTTCTATTATTTACAATATATATTTGTTATGAGTTATACATATTTTTATTAGTTATTTTAGAATTAAATAAAAAATGATTATAAAATTATATATATAATGAGGAAATATCATAAATAATTTTTGTTGAAATTGTATTAAAATATAATTGTGACATATTACTATATATCATGTAAAAAACTTGTACATATTTTCCGGTATGATAGAGATAGAAAAAAACATTGTTATAATTTGTATTGCTCAATGAAATACGACGATCTTTATAAAACAGTGAAAAACACATCATTATCTAATAATTAAAAATTAATTAATAAATTAATAACAAATTATTATATGATTCTAAAATAATATTATTTTCAAAATACATATAATCATTGGACTTTAAATTAACTATAAACAAACTCAATGTAGATGTTTATTTCTATTATTTACATTACATATTTGTTAGGAGTTACACACATCTTTATTATTTATTTTAGAATTAAACAATAAATGATTATAAATATATATCTATTATGAGCATTGCCTAAAATTAAGAAATAAAAAATAACATTGATCGAAATTGTATTAAAATATAACTGTAATATTTTATTATATATTATATGAACAAACTTACACATATTTTCCGATATAATGGAGATAGAAAAATATCTTGTTATAATTTGCATTGAAACAAAATATCATTAATACATATTAAACAATAATCAGGAGGACTTTCCTCCCTGATAAGATGATAGCATATTATCGAATAACAAGTAACAAATTTAATCTTATATATGCTTCAATCTAATTTGTAAAACCTAAGTTAATCTTATATATATGATTGAAGCTAATATGAAAATACTAAATGTTTACTAAGTTGTTTCCTTTATCATCTCTGAAAGTTAATATTAAATATTTATAATCATAAAGCTAAGAAAAATGTATCTTTAAATTAAAATATCAATTTTTATTGGGTATATTTTGGTACCAAGATATAAGTTTAAAACTTTTTATGTGTAATTATCTTTCCAATATTTTTTGGTGCCATCCATTCTTGACAAAGAATCAAATGTATCAATTTTCCCATGCTTATTAATTCCTCATTTCCGTCGTCTATTTACCTATAATGTTTAGGTATATAAGTTTTTCTTTTATTTTTTAACTAAACCAACAACTAAAGGCATGGTTTGTATTGTTTTTAATTTTATTCGATCCAATCAAAACTTTCAATATTTCATAGAATTGGTTCGGTGCTGTTTATCAGATTGAATGAGTTACACACAAATTTGAAGAGAATAAAAATATATTTAATCAAAATAAATTTCGGTTATTAGTAATTAAGTATATAAATATTTAGACATCTATTCCAAAATAATATATTAATATACTAGAGATTGTTGGTTTTTTTGTTTTGTTTTTGCATTTTTTCAAAAGAGTTGTTAAAGGCAGGAACAAAATCCAAAATTGGTCCATATTCTTATTATATATCATCACACATTGTATTAAAATTTGTCTATATATTTCATTTTATTTTATCAAATTATTACGGATTGTTACTAATATATATCTTTAATAACATAGAGAAAATAGTAATTACTAAAAAGAATATCATATACTTGACACTTGGATTTTTCAAGGGCAACTTTGTCATTACATATTGAATTTTTTAATATCATTGTAATGTAAATTATATGATATTTCTATATGTATACATTTAATATTGTTGGGGATACTTTAGTCATTTTCTCTATATTTCATTCATCACATTTACGAGTATAATATATGTTTTTAATTATTAAAATATATGAGTCACATGTTTGTTCTTAACCATATGAATGCACATATAACATGTGTATTTTTAATCATGTGAATATATAAATAATATGTGTATTTTTAACCACGTGAATGTTGTAACGCCCCGAAAATTACTTCAATAATCTTGCTCGAAAATGGGTAAAAAAATTTTTTTTGAATAAAGGAGCCATAAAAATTTATGTCCTTATCTTCGTTTCATTTTCGGAACATCACTTAAGTAACATACAATGCGGAAAATCACAACCATTACTTAATGGTAACTAGAAAAACTCAATATAACTTTGAATCATACTTCATTAGAAAATGTTGGTACAGGTACAAGGCGGAATCCTAATCGTCGCCCAAATAAAAACTACTACAAAATAAATTCCATACACAGGTACACTAATCAAAAGTACCAGGGCCTGTGTAGGTATAACAGATTCCCTCAATCCTCCATTCCCCCTCCTGGGACATCGAAAAGTGGTAACTCTGAATCCCGATCGAACGATCCATCTGAACAAACGTGGATAGAAGACAAAAAGAAAGAAGAGAGGGAGTAAAACATCTAATGAAAAACTTATCATTGACGTCGTGGAATTACACAGAATAATACACCAAGACAACACATGAGTACATATATATCATGTGATTATACAAGCACATAAAAACAATGAATGAAATATAAAACTCGAGGATTTAGAAACAATATCGAAGAATATCATGTATGCAATGCGATGCATGAGTCCACCATCCTTACTCCTTTATCCTCCCAATAACTATTCGGAAATAACCGAGAGTACAGGTCCCATAACAAGCCGATTTGAACGCACCAAAATATTCCTCGCAAGGATATATGATCGATCTGTTCCAAAGAACTGTCCATTTCAGGACGGAGTCGTATCAAACACTTTCTGGGCATCCATCTCATCGATCCTGATTGCAAAGAGGGGTTGTCAGAGATCATCTAGTTTGCGCTGTGAGAACTGTCTGATCCAACAGAATACCTCATCCAGGAATACAAGGGACTCGTCTCACCTAGACTCACCCTCAAGACTTTGCTGACGAATCACCGCCATCGCCGTCCCTCTCAACATCTCGGGGCTCGTTCGTCTCCCGTAAATTTCCTCTCCACTACTTCATTATTCATAATGAGTATGCACACTAACCGAGGTTAGCCAATTAAATCTTTCAATCATTCTTTTAAATGATCGGCCCAACCTAAGACATCTCCCAAAGGAATGCTTCTAGTGGGTCCCGATCTTAACACATATAACAAAAAGAGAGAATAATTTCGGCACCACTACGAACCATCGCTGAATTATCCTGGACGACTCCTCTAGCCAAGCCTCTTACGATCAAATAATCTCGCTGCGTGGGCATAATATCACACCCTCGGCCTCGCCTTTAACAAAGCAATTCCTTACTTTTATTACTTTCAAGAATTTCATATAGTTGTTTACCTTTACAAATTCTTGATGGCAAACATGCCATTGGGCTCTCGTATATATGAGAGTTATCATTCCGACGACTTAAAAAGAAGTCATGTCTGTATGGAGCCCGCTCGCTCAAGCGAGAGCTGTCTTGCTCAAACGAGATGCTTCCATTTTTGAGGCATTTGTGGCTTAAGCGAGAGCTGTCTTGCTTAAGCGAGAAAACAATCAGTTCTCTTGGTGCCTATTTTAGCTCAAGCGAGAGCTGTCTCGCCTCGAGCTAAAACACTCGTTTTCTCTATACACTTCCCGCTCAATCGAGAGTTGTCTCGGTCAAGCGAGAAGAACCTAAATATCATTTTAATTACTTTTCTCAAGGAAAATATTTCTCATTTATATCAAATGTTTTTAAACCTTGAATTTCAAAATTATCACATACATATCATTCTCATAATAATCATTCAAACATTATAATTCAAGAGTAAACATGATATTTGCATATATAAACATAACATAAATCGGTATAAGAAATATTGCTGTACTTAATCCAAACAAACATGCAATTGATTAAGTACAAGCTTTCTTAATACCCAGGGCAACTCCAAACTTGTGAGGGAGTTTGGAGGTCCTGATGCATATTCGGACACCACTGTGTCACGATGTTTTCTCCCTCACCTGAGTGTGTCGGGTCGTTAGGTTCTCTGTTTGTAGGTGAGCTTACTTGATCCGTTCTCCTCTCGAAATCTTTATTATGCCAAAATAACGTTAATTAGTTAAATGACGATAATTATTATACTTACGAAATAACTTTTTACGCGAAGATAAAACTTCCGATTTAAAATGAATTTAATTGCTTTCGTCCATCCAATTCAAGGTTGAATATCCTTGAATCATCATTTATCATCGAAAGTCTTACAATCAAATAATACTTTTTAAAGTAAAATTTTCAATAAAACTTATACCGAAATTATGTCGTAATTCGTGGATATACACCAGGCTAGTTCCCAAGAAAGAGAGGTGGGTCATAAAGACACCCTTAAATACCAAATCTTTCCTTAGACATAATGGTATTTCACATCTGTTGTTTCCAGCTCCCACTTCTCCTACACCTCTCAAGTCATTTCACAAAGTCAGACTAGAGTCAAGCTCAACAGGGTCTTCTTTCCCCGCTGATTTCGCCAAGCCCGTTCCCTTGGCTGTGGTTTTGCTTGATAGTAGACAGGGACAGTGGGAATCTCATAAATCCATTCATGCGCGTCACTAATTAGATGACGATGCATTTGGCTACCTTAAGAGAGTCATAGTTACTCCCGTCGTTTACCGGCGCTTGGTTGAATTTCTTCACTTTGACATTCAGAGCACTGGGCAGAAATCACATTGCGTCAACATCTGGAGGGACCATCGCAATGCTTTGTTTTAATTAAACAGTCGGATTCCCCTTGTCCATACCAGTTCTGAGTCGACTGTTCGACGCTCGGGGAAGAGGCCCTGAAGGGCCCGTTCTCAATCTGTCCCTCGACCGGCACGCGGTGAACCGCTCTCGCCTTGAGAACAGCTCGAGAAACACCCTTTGTGGGGTCTAGGTTAGCACGCAGTTGGGCACCATAACCCAGCTTCCGGTTAATCCCGCATCGCTAGTTCTGCTTACCAAAAATGGCCCACTTGGAGCTCTCGATTTCGTGGTGTGGCTCAACGAAGCAACCACACCGTTATACCTATTTAAAGTTTGAGAATAGGTCGAGGGTATTGCTACCACGATGCCTCTAATCATTGGCTTTACCCGATAGAACTCGCCTGCGGGCTCCAGCTATCCTGAGGGAAACTTCGGAGGGAATCACTTAGTAGACGGTTCGATTAGTCTTTCGGCCCTATACCCAAGTCAAACGAAAGATTTGCACGCCAGTATCGCTGCGGGCCTCCACCAGAGTTTCCTCTGGCTTCGCCCCGCTCAAGCATAGTTCACCATCTTTCAGGTCCCGACAGGTATGCTCTCACTCGAACCCTTCACAGAAGATCAGGGTCGGTCGGCGGTGCAACCCACAAGGGGATCCCACCAATCAGTTTCCTTGCACCTTACGGGTTTATTTGTCCACTGACTCGCACACATGTCAGACTCAATATTAGATATTTTACGAAAGAAATCCAATATTTTGTCTCAATTCTTGAAAATTTGATGACAGAAAATAGATACAACAACTCTAAAGAGTATGAAAAAAATAATTTTATCACCACAACTTTCTTTATCGCAACAGTTCCAACTATTCCTAGTTTTAAATCAACATCTTTTTATTTTAGTGCTATCAATCCACTTTCATATTGTTTGTAATGTGTAGTCTACATACAATAAATTGAAGATTATATATTTTAATTTTAATGTAATATTGGTGACAATTAGATAATGCAAAAACCCGAAGTTACTTTGTCTTGTGGTAATTGTAACGCCCCGAAAATTACTTCAATAATCTTGCTCGAAAATGGGTAAAATTTTTTTTTTTTTTTTTGAATAAAGGAGCCATAAAAATTTATGTCTTTATCTTCGTTTCATTTTCGGAACATCACTTAAGTAACATACAATGCGGAAAATCACAACCATTACTTAATGGTAACTAGAAAAACTCAATATAACTTTGAATCATACTTCATTAGAAAATGTTGGTACAGGTACAAGGCGGAATCCTAATCGTCGCCCAAATAAAAACTACTACAAAATAAATTCCCTACACAGGTACACTAATCAAAAGTATCAGGGCCTGTATAGGTATAACAGAATCCCTCAATCCTCCATGCCCCGTCCTGGGACATCGAAAAGTGGTAACTCTGAATCCCGATCGAACGATCCATCTGAACAAACGCGGATAGAAGACAAAAAGACAGAAGAGAGGGAGTAAAACATCTAATGAAAAACTTATCATTGACGTCGTGGAATTACACAGAATAATACACCAAGACAACACATGAGTACATATATATCATGTAATTATACAAGCACATAAAAACAATGAATGAAATATAAAACTCGAGGATTTAGAAACAATATCGAAGAATATCATGTATGCAATGCGATGCATGAGTCCACCATCCTTACTCCTTTATCCTCCCAATAACTATTCGAAAATAACCGAGAGTACAGGTCCCATAACAAGCCGATTTGAACGCACCAAAATATTCCTCGCAAGGATATATGATCGATCTGTTCCAAAGAACTGTCCATTTCAGGACGGTGTCGTATCAAACACTTTCTGGGCATCCCTCTCATCGATCCTGATTGCAAAGAGGGGTTGTCAGAGATCATCTAGTTTGCGCTGTGAGAACTGTCCGATCCAACAGAATACCTCATCCAGGAATACAAGGGACTCGTCTCACCTAGACTCACCCTCAAGACTTTGCTGACGAATCACCGCCATCGTCGTCCCTCTCAACATCTCGGGGCTCATTCGTCTCCCGTAAATTTCCTCTCCACTACTTCATTATTCATAATGAGTATGCACACTAACCGAGGTTAGCCAATTAAATCTTTCAATCATTCTTTTAAATGATCGGCCCAACCTAAGACATCTCCCAAAGGAATGCTTCTAGTGGGTCCCAATCTTAACACATATAACAAAAAGAGAGAATAATTTCGGCACCACTACGAACCATCGCTGAATTATCCTGGACGGCTCCTCTAGCCAAGCCTCTTACGGTCAAATAATCTCGTTGCGTGGGCATAATATCACACCCTCGGCCTCGCCTTTAACAAAGCAATTCCTTACTTTTATTACTTTCAAGAATTTCATATAGTTGTTTACCTTTACAAATTCTTGATGGCAAACATGTCATTGGGCTCTCGTATATATGAGAGTTATCATTCCGACGACTTAAAAAGAAGTCATGTCTGTATGGATCCCGCTCGCTCAAGCGAGAGCTGTCTTGCTCCAGCGAGATGCTTCCATTTTTTAGGCTTTGTGGCTTAAGCGAGAGCTGTCTTGCTTAAGCGAGAAAACAATCAGTTCTCTTGGTGCCTATTTTAGCTCAAGTGAGAGCTGTCTCGCCTCGAGCTAAAACACTCGTTTTCTCTATACACTTCTCGCTCAATCGAGAGTTGTCTCGGTCAAGCGAGAAGAACCTAAATATCATTTTAATTACTTTTCTCAAGGAAAATATTTCTCATTTATATCAAATGTTTTTAAACCTTGAATTTCAAAATTATCACATACATATCATTCCCATAATAATCATTCAAACATTATAATTCAAGAGTAAACATGATATTTGCATATATAAACATAACATAAATCGGTATAAGAAATATTGCTGTACTTAATCCAAACAAACATGCAATTGATTAAGTACAAGCTTTCTTAATACCCAGGGCAACTCCAAACTTGTGAGGGAGTTTGGAGGTCCTGATGCATATTCGGACACCACTGTGTCACGATGTTTTCTCCCTCACCTGAGTGTGTCGGGTCGTTAGGTTCTCTGTTTGTAGGTGAGCTTACTTGATCCGTTCTCCTCTCGAAATCTTTTTTATGCCAAAACAACGTTAATTAGTTAAATGACGATAATTATTATACTTATGAAATAACTTTTTACGCGAAGATAAAACTTCTGATTTAAAATGAATTTAATTGCTTTCGTCCATCCAATTCAAGGTTGAATATCCTTGAATCATCATTTGTCATCGAAAGTCTTACAATCAAATAATACTTTTTAAAGTAAAATTTTCAATAAAACTTATACCGAAATTATGTCGTAATCTGTGGATATACATCAGGCTAGTTCCCAGGAAAGAGAGGTGGGTCATAAAGACACCCTTAAATACCAAATCTTTCTTTAGACAGAACCTTTCTAGACATGTATTCTCACTTCATTTATGTCGTAATCCGTGGATATACACCAGGCTAGTTCCCAGGAAAGAGAGGTGGGTCATAAAGACACCCTTAAATACCAAGTCTTTCCTTAGACAGAACCTTTCTAGACATGTATTCCCACTTCATTTATGTCGTAATCCGTGGATATACATCAGGCTAGTTCCCAGGAAAGAGAGGTGGGTCATAAAGACACCCTTAAATACCAAGTCTTTCCTTAGACAGAACCTTTCTATACATGTATTCCCACTTCATTTATTTTTCCGATAATTCACAAATCTTATTTTTTGTAAGTAAAACATTTTTACTAAAACTAACCTTTTTACTTTTTTAAGTAAATCTTACCATTTTAAAGTAAGTTCACTTAACTAAGATTCAACATTTTTAAATCATTTTACCATCTAAGACTTCATAACACTTTAAGTTTATAAAGTCAAGACTTTTAGGTAACTCTCATTATTTCAAGTATACTACTAAAACAATTTTTCATGAACATCTTAACACCTCCTAATTTTTTAGGAAAAAACCTCAAGGGTTAGTAAGTGTTATTTTCATAGTCATGAAAAAGAATGGCTCTTAATTTAATATTTTACATTTAAACATCTTTTAGTTATTCTTACCACTTTAAAGTAAGTCAACTAAAATAAATACAACAATTTCTATGAACATCTTAAGACCTCCTAATATTTTAGGAAAAAACCTCAAGGGTTAGTAAGTGTTATTTTCATGGTCATGAAAATAAATCATAATGTAAGACTTTCTACTACTTTAATATCTAAAACTTCATAACACTTTAAGTTTATGAAGTCAAGACTTTAATAAATCATCTTTTATCCCAAATCATTATTTTAACTTGGGAATCAAAGAGTAAAATATGTAAACCACTTTTAAAACATAATACTATCTAAAAATGAAATATTTTCAACAACTCATCAACATCATAAACTTTCAAGAATAAAATACAAACTTTTTTCTAAACACATTAAAGGTTCCTTTGATGTTAAAATCATCACCTTTAAACATATTCAAATACTAACAATAATTTCTAATATTTCCAAATAAATAACTCATCTAACCTTGTCCAAAGATATAGTTTTTCCATCTAAGAACAAGGAAGAAATTTCAAGATTTACAAAAGTCAAAAACTACATAAAGGTTCATATGATTTTATTATCATCCCCTTTAGTTATGCTTTCATAAAATACTTAAAGAACAAATATAAACTCTACTTTATGAACAAAATAATAAAAGCTCATAACTATCTATGAAGTATGAGAAGAAGATGAAGAAGATAAAATAAAAGACTACCTTAGTTTGTATAAGGAATTTAGTGTAAAAATGAGAGGATGTGGTGAGGTATTTATAGGAGAGCCTCACCCTCATCAAATCAGAAAATTTAATGCAAAATAAGTAGCTTTAGACTAGCATAGGTGATGTGTCTAATGGTGGTGGAGTGAGAGGATTTGTTGAGTGTTTTAGGGGTTTTTGGAAGCTTTTGCATTACTTGTGTAACAAGTAAGTGGCTCATGCAATGATGACTTCCAACTTTATTGATATGATGTAATTTCCCAATAAATGTCGTGTCCGAACATCTTCGGATAATTTCGTCCGAAAATATACAATCTCCCGATTTTGGTTTACGGTTAGAACTTCGAAACACAGAATTTGGAGTGAAAATATTTAGAAATGCGTTCTGAATGAACTTGATGTGTATCTTGACTCGAAATAATATTTTGAAGCCAATGGTGCAATCGGAATTCGATTCCGAGTTACGGAACTCAAAAACACGTTATTGGGCCGAATTCGGGCTATTGACAATTCAAAAATATTTCCTCACAGAAAATTACGAAAATTTATCATAAAATAGGAAATCACAAAACAAGACTAATATTCAACTATGGCTTAGCCTAAATCCACACTGATTAATTTCTACAATTAATCGTTGATAAAATAATTAATTAATAAAAACTCATAAAAATTTATAATTCCAAATCAGAAAATTCATGGTGTTACAGTAATTGATAAAGAGAATAATGTATCTTCTCATATTAGGAGATAACTTACCTAAAAGAATGACATGTGTATTGTTTTGTTTAGTTCTAGAAATATTTTTTGTAGAAAATGATTAAATAGTACACATGTCACGATTTTAGTGGTTGGAGGAGATAACTTATTTCCTTATAACAGGAGATACATTATTCTCATTGATAAGTGTAACGTTTAATGAGGATGTTTAGTATGGTGCTTGCATCATGAAACTGCAAATAATGTAAGATCCCTATATTATGAAAGGGCATAATAGAAAATGACAAAATATACCATGT